AAACAGACAGCAAACTTGTCTATACATTAGAATGTGTAATTTTCTAACAATCTTACAAAATATGTTTGCGAGCGGATAGTTACTTTTGACAAGTGCTATTACTTGGGCTGCTTCTAACTTCTGTAGCCACACAGACAGCACGTTTACGGAAGGTGGTTTGATTTCCCATACATTTTAGTACAAGCTGCGAAGTTTTGTGAATTTTTAAGGCAAAAGTTCGCTTGCACTGGCGTTGTTTCGCATTATTGAACCGGCGGAAGGTACAATTCTTATCGATGGCGTCAATATTGGACTTATTGGCTTGCATGACCTACGCTTGAATTTAACTATTATCCCTCAAGTAAGCATCTTTCAGTTAGTTATTACAGTGACCTCTACTACTGAAATTGCAGAAATTCCCATCCGAAGCTTCGTTACCATCAAGGATTTCCAATTTCAGGAACCAGTTTTGTTTTCCGGTTCACTTCGATTCAATCTGGATCCGTTCCAGAACTATTCAGATGAGGAAATATGGAAGACCCTAGAGCATGCACATTTGAAGGCATTTGCATCAAATTTACCAGCAGGTTCTTAATCTCAGTTCAAAAAATGTTTTTTTAATTTTTTTTTAACAATTCTGCATCAATTTCATGCTGTTATTAAGTCTCGTAACCTGAAGAATCATTCATCTTTTTCAAGATCTGAAGCAAGCAATTCTGATTTTCGAAGGAATTCGGCTCCATGATTTTAGAAAGGAAACGATTATCCTTGGTTGGTTGTAGAGGTGGCGCCCTTACATCAATCGGGACGGTGGGTACTAACTGGAGGTATTCAGCCTGGGTTCGGCGAGCCTAGTGTAGCTGCCTAGACATTTAGGAGCATCAATAATATAAGATCCTCACGTGTGATTTTCGCTGTTTGGGCGTTCTTGTTATAATTCTGATTTTAACTCACGTAAGTTTTTTAAAAATCTTTAAAGCAGTGGAACAGCATTTGTTCAAATGTAGGAGTAATGTATCGTCGGCAAGCTCGAAAAACCCGTAGTTTTTAGGACAGTTTAACTGGGCAAAACTGAAACCTTACTGGATTTGATCTTAGGCTAATAACTTGAGAAGGTGTTTTTCTAGAAAGTTGGTTGTTTTCAAAAGAATTAGTAGAAAATGTGATCGTTTTTATCATAATCGCTGGAGTGCATTTGTCATTGTTATTCATAACGGCACCTCGTTAGGTCAGGCCTCGGCGGGTCGGGGCCTCGTGGAGCCGGGACCTGGTGGGTCGGGGCCTCGTGGGGTCGGCATCCGGTGGGCCAGTACTAGCTTATGCCAAACAGTTGAACCAATTATCAGCTTGCTTGCACCTCTCGAAAGAGAAAGCTGTCGACAGGCCAGCAATCGCTATTGGCGCTTGCTACTCTTGGAACACTTCCGAGTGCCCGGGCCTTTTAGAGCAAATAAATACAAGAGTTTTTGAATTTTGACTTTGCACTGCGCATGTGCTGACCTTTTGTCACGCTCAATCTGGCTGCGAGTATTACTTTACAGGTCTGCAGTATAAAATTACTGAAGGCGGTGAAAATATAAGCGTTGGTCAGCGACAGCTCATCTGTCTGGCCCGGGCGCTGCTTCGGAAGAGCAAAGTGCTGGTGCTGGATGAAGCCACTGCTGCTGTTGATTTGGCAACCGACTCGCTGATACAGGAAACGATTCGCCGAGAGTTTGCGACTTCTACCGTTCTGACCATTGCCCATCGGCTGAACACAATCCTGGATTATGACAGGTTGACAAATATGTTTCTTGCCTTATTGGAATGAATTTTGAAAAATATCAATATTACTGGGATGATGGGGAGGGGAAGGTGACGAAGGAGGAGGAGGGAAGGGGCGAGAAGGTGGAGGAAAGGGACGGAGGAGAAAGTTCTGTTGGCAGAATTTTTGACATCCTTTTTCAGGATACTGGTACTCGACAAGGGCTTAATAAGGGAATTTGATTCACCAGGTGCATTGCTGGCTGATCGCTCATCGCTGTTTTTCTCGATGGCATCTGATGCTCAGATTGTTTCTTCGTTGAAGAATAATAACGGGCACGAATAATCACTGATAAAATTCTGTTGATCTCTTCCGTTTCCACATATTGTTGAAAACTCGTCGACTGTGATAAGTTATTAAATTTTTTGTACATTTAGAGAAGAGCTTATCATGTTTCTCAGATTGTCTTGCACATTTTTCTTTTTCCATAAATTACTTGAAATCTTTTAGATTTTAACAGTTTATCATAAAGTTGACCGATTGACTACACAGTGCAGCATTGATCAAAGCAACTGGTAGAGTTGCCAGCTGAATAGCTGGAAAAACAGCTATGAATTGTGGCTGAATCAAAGTACCCTTGTCGAGTTAAAATGCAAAGGTTTTGTCTCTTAGGAGGAGCTTTTGCTATGAATTGTATTTGAACCAAAGTACCCCTGTCAAGTTAAACTGCTTAGGTTTTGTTTCTTAGGAGGAGCTTTTGCAGACGATTTGGACCAGAAGGAAATCGAAACTCTCATCTCCAGAATCTCCGAATCTTGATGAATTCACTTAAATTTTAGCCCCTGCGCAACCGTACATGGTAGGCTAGAGTTTATGATTCTTTATGTCATCCACATAATTTGTGGTTCCTGACCAGGTACCACAATCAGCGCGCTTGCTGGCTTCTTCCGGATATTCGCAATACGTGGTAATAATGATTTCTCTGTGCGTTAATTTTAATTGATCATCTAGTAAAAAATTTTAAACTCTACTCGGGCTTGCGCAATAGGAGAGGCAATCATTTAACCATTCTGTGCTATTTTTCAAACTCTTACGGGAAGCGCCTCACACAGTTTCAAAACATTATTTTTTTAGTTTTAAATGTATCAATACAATTTGCAATGAAATTCGCA